AATTCTTGCGTCGTAACGCAGTTTGCTGTGTCGAGGTTGACGATCGTTGAAATTCAGACGACTGCAATGAAATTTGTAAAATATTGAATGGATTGAAGGGGGAAATGGGTGGCTCCTCTCCACTTTCATTAAATTCAGTCGAGTTTGGACCATTTGAATATGTGCAAAAGCTAAAAGCTTAACCAGAACACCAAGCAATACGTGTCGATGAAACGCTTTTCTTTCGGAGTCCGAAAGCACATAGAGAAGGTGACAAAAGAAAAAAAAATGCAATACGAACTGAAAAATGTACATAACTTTTCAACTCTAACGATGACCAAAGACCCCCCACCACTCCTCCTGGGAAAAATTATAGTATACCTCCGTAATTTAATGATTCAAAACTAATAAAGGTTAGGGTACTTGTATGGAAAGCAATAAAACAACAACATGAAAGGAAATAAAGTGAACAGAAGTAAACTTTGAAAAACAGAAACAAAAAACTTGAGAAATCTGGAGACCAATTAGCCACCATCACAAAGGTATCCAAGGAGAAGAACTTGGAAAATCAAAACAAATCTAACAAATGGTTGAACCAGAGCCCACCGTAGTCACAAATCCAGCGGTCAACCCGCTATGTTTCGTCCCTTAAATTCCCGAGGTGAACAACCAGAATCTGAGATGTCATCCATGGCGATAATATCTATTAAAAACAGACACTATTAAAAACACTCCAACGTACAACTGTAAAAAAAAACTCACCGTAGCGTTTCTGCTGCGCTCGTCTTGCAGCTGAAGGGTCAGAGTGTGTATCTGAGCACGCAGTTTGTCCATCTGGGCTTCCAACTTTTCTCGTTTTTCTCTCTCATACTCAAGCTGAGCTTCTAATTCGCGTATGACCCTGAATTAAAAGGGACATAGACCAAATATAGCACCATACTGTACGAGCAATAACTGCCCCCTTGAATAACCAGGGAAAGGAACACTTATTAAGTTTATGTATTAATAATAATTCGCGATCTCCAAGTAAGATAAAATGTTTCCCGTTTTGAAATTGCCTTGAAAATTATTTGCTGCTTACAAACAGCACAAGTAACCTAAAAAATTAACATTTTATTTTAATTCCAAAAAAGCTACATATTGAAAATGAACGGCAGAAGAAAAGAACTATTTTTTTTTAGTTCATGATCGAGGTTGAGCAGAATTTCAAGAATTGTTTGTGTTATCAGTCGAAGCCGAAGTCGATTTCCGCCATCACTCAAAACTAAATTCAAAATTCTATTAATACGCACGCAAAAACTAAAGTTACATGTCTGACTAAACGAAAACTGCGCCAATTAGAACTAAGAGCGTGCTTTTTGCCAATCAGCAGTAGAAGAGTGACAACAATGCATCATAATCATGCATGTGATTTGTGTGATTGTTTCTGTGTGTACCTTGCACTTTCTCTTTCCTCCTCAAGTTTCTTTTGATCTTCATCCAATACACCTCCCAGCTGCCTGTAGTTCATTTTAGCCACATCTAACAAATGCGCTAGTTCTTCAATTTTCCGCTTGGCACGACCTGCACGCAAGATCATTATATGATGATAACATCCACAATTTATTCGTGACATTACACATAACTACATAACTGTAGAGCCAAGAGGGTAATTCACCTTTAATCAGTTTCCATTGAGCCTAAACTAATTAGACCGATAGAGCTTCCAAAAAAATTAGCAAAAAGAACAACAATATTACAACAGCAGCGACGATGACGTCAACAATATATGATCACTACTAGCGTAAAATAGAGTGACGTTGCACCCTGAAAAGAATTGTACCAAAAGGAACGTTTCTCCGTTTGAAGAAACGTTTAAAGGAATAGCGAGCGAAGGCCCAATGAAAGATGGTTATAAGGCCCTTAGAACCATCTTTGAAGTTTTTCCAAAGGCTGATATCGACTCATTAGAAGTAAACGGTAAGAGGAATTTTGAAGCTAAGAACAGAAATTGAAAAGGAAGAAGGTCGGGATGTTTAAGCTCAGGCAAGACAAGGTTCTAATTGGGTACGAAATCAGTTGTTGATGTTTTTATACCTTGGGCGTCTTCAAGACGCTTCTGCATGGTGTCCTGGACAAAATCGTCCGAGATTTTCGGTAGGAAAGTTGGAGAATCATTACCTTCCGGATCTCGGTCATCGCGAAGAAGGAAAGGAAAAGCTAAGAAATGAAGTAGAAATGATAGAGAAGGGAAGAAAAGGAAGGTTTATGGAAACGCGAAGATATATGGCTATTCCAGGACTGGGGTGATGTCCAGAGGTGCATGCGAACCTCTCAAACAATTAACCCGGCCTTTAACTGCCACGAGTGGCCAAAATTTCTCCCTATCAATATAATATCAAGTTCACACCGATAAGTGATGAGAATAAAGAAAAATATAAATTAGTTGATTCAGTACCAAATCCTGATAACTAACATCTAAAGAAATATATGGCAGACAGAAAAGGAGAATCAATAATGGGATCGAGGGATGGAAGGTTTGAGAAATGAATTCATTCGAAACTAGACAAGTTTCAAGAAGCCAGAATAACAATTGAAAACCCACTGTCAAACGAATTTAAGAATATGGACTGGGCAACGACGCAAAACTTATCACGATAACTTAAAAGGCGGGAATGGTTAGGTTTTCAAGAGAAAATCAAATATCAGCGGGGTCGAGACCAGAAGGAAATTTTAAGCAAAGAGAACCAGCAAATTTTATTGAGCTCACAGGAAGTCAATAGGATGGAGGAAGGAAAGAACCTGCTATTAATCCAAGTAATTAAGAATACGATCTCGTGGAAAAGAGAACACAAAGAGTTTGCAACAATAAAACAAACAGAAAAAAAGGTAGGGAAATGGAAGGATTAATTAAATGTAGTTGTTACGCTGGTAATCGGGATTTGTTACTATAATCACTTATTCATCTACTTCACAATCCTTTTTAAAAACACAATTCCAATTTTTGTATAGATGCAATTTTTCGCTATTCTCAGGTGAGCCAAGCGAAGCAAATGTGACTGAATACATAAATAAATGAATAAATAGGTAAATAAACCTCTGGCTTCTGCTTTAGACTGAGGCTCGGACGGCTTGAAGTCTTCTGCTCCTTCGTCTACAACGTTTTCTTCGTCGTCTGACGAGCAAGAGATTATAATTAAAAGTTAATCGTACTAGAAAAAGCGAATTTTAAGTACGCAACACTCAAACAAAGGATGGAGAATTCAGAAAAGGTGGTCGAGTTCAAAAATTTAAAACAACACATTAAGTTGTTGAGGAACAAAGTTCACCAGCTTCGCAAGCAAGCCTATTCTAAAGGTATCCGTTCAAGGACCGTAAACCCTTAAGGTATCCGGTCAATGCACCACCACAACAAACTCGCCCACACAAAACTGACGCCACCGGTCGGGTGGCGATTTGACTTCGAGTGGTGGCGACTTTTGTGGTGACGAGTTTCTTGGGGCGGCGAATTGACCGTAAGCCATTCTAAATAAACGTTTAATCGTTCATTTACATAAAATCCACGATGATCAACAACACTTTCTATAACAAGCCTACTCTAGTTGGGGTAATATAGACTGGAATGTGAAGGTGTAGTCTGATCGTCCGGGTGAGTGTAGTCCTGAGAAGGACTGTTGTCGGTGGTAGTGACTGACGTTTCGACAACCTGTGCGGAAGTCATCATCAGAGTCCAGTGAATGATTGTTGTCAGTAGTCAGTATTCTAACTGGAATAAGAACATTCTACTGACAACAATCATTCACTTGACTCTGATGATGACTTCCGCACAGGTTGTCGAAACGTCAGTCACTACCACCGACAACAGTCCTTCTCAGGACTACACTCACCCGGACGATCAGACTACACCTTCACATGTTACCCCCGGGTTCAAACCATTTACTGCATAGACTGGAATGTAATCATGTCACCTGTATTTTTGAACGATAACTTCTGTGTTTATTTGTTTATTTGTTTCTATCTCGAGTACGAGTTCATACATGTCAAGTAATATAATATTCACCTGAGTCACCTCCAAGAATAGCAACACAGCCGAGTCGACCAAACCTACGGGCCACATCTTTGGGAGTTTCCCCAGCTGAGTTGACAATTCTCACTGACGATTAAAAAAAGAAAAACAGTTTCTTTAATCCAACAAGTTGCAAACGCCGTGGGGTCCACAATGACCGATTACAAAGAATGCTATATCTGTAGAATAAGCTAACCATTTCGTCCCTTTTTTTTTTGTTATTACACTGTATTTAAGTGAAGTAAAAACAGGAAATGAACCTTCTACAACTGAATTCGCACTTACAGTTCGCTCCATTTTCGACAAGCCACTGTAACACTTGAACGTGTCCATTTCCTGCAGCTAAAATCAAAAGACAGATTATAACACAAATTAACAACGAAAGAGATGACGGGTTTGTTGGGTGTGTTCTCAAAAAAAATTTGACTGCCCTTTTGACCAAAACATCCATCAAACATCTGTACCTTTATGTGCAGGAGTTGAACCTTTGTCATCTCTTTCATTCACAGATACGACCCCAGTCTCTATCAGCATCTTCAATTGGGCCAGGTCGCCATTGTACGCAGCTACATGGGCTGGGAAGGCCAGGTCTGTGGGTAAGACAAAAGTATTGTGAAAATGCACATTTTCTATGTTGTATTTATAACTATTAATTATTAATTATCAATGACTAATTTTAATCATAAACACTTTTAAAAGTGTTTGCAGAACTAATGTGCCAGACACTTTCAATTTATGAAAATGGATTTAAATGTTCTCAAACAGAAGACACCCTATATACTTAATTATTCGCCGAAGGCAAGGTGAATATCGTCAAATAATCCCTGAGACGAAGTTGAGGGGATTATTCGACAATATTCACCGAACCTGAGGTGAATAATTGTTTTAGTATAATTTCAGAGCTGAACAACAGAGAAATTTCTACAATCGCAACATTTTTGTAACATTTATTAACATTTTATTTTAACATTTTATATAAACCGTGTGGAGCGGTTTATTTAGCGTCATATAAAGAACCGCTCGACCAATCAGATTGCTGGAAACTCTTTGCTCAGCTCTGAAATTATACTAATTATAATTATTAATTATCAATCACTAATTTTAATTGTATATACTTTTAAAAGTGTTTGCAGAACTAAATTGTGCCAGACACTTTCAATTTATGAAAGTGGATTTAAACGTTCTCAAACAGAAGACACCCTATATACAGGAGGACATAAAAAGCAAAAAAAAAAACTCATTCAAGAATTGTGATTCAATGATAAACTTACTTTCTTCATCTTCGGGGTGAAGTAGGTCATATTCTGTGAATGGTTCAAAAGAAAAAGAATAATGACTTAAGTAATATCTTCAGGAGTGAAAGAGATGAGTATCATCTCTTAGGAATTCACGTAAGAATACACATCAATTGCATGTACCTGCAATTTAAATTTTGCCATGCATTCTTGAGAAAGAAATTCATTTTAGATACCACTGAAGAAAAACTGACATACCTACTGCATTCAGATAGTCAATACAATCCTTTTTGTAGAATTGCTGGGCAAGATTTTTGGGTGTGTCACCCTATTTGAACAGAGAAAGACTAAATTATCATGCATTCGCACAACACTAATAGATAGAACAATTAAAATAAAGATTTAAATTTTACTGGCTAAAATTACTGATAAATTTACAAATTAATTTTTTCCCACAGGAGGGGCTTTCAACCATAACCATAACAGTACGGTATTCTCTATTCCAATGGTATCACACTTATCAAGACTGTAAATAAAAAGTTCCTGAAAGAACATGAAAGGTTACCAACAAATATGTAGTTTGCTGCTGTTGATTGGTAAAGAGGTTCTGATTTTTTTCAAAGAAGTGGAAAGTATTTTCATTATTAAATATGCATGACAAGGAAAGCACTCTGTAACTCTAAACCTTCATTTAAGTAATGGCATGATAGTTTCTTACATTGTATCAACTGTAGTCCTTGTGACAGATTGGCACAGTTACCATGTGCTTTAAATTGTCATTAAGAAGACTGTAAATTAAAGCACTTTTCCTTGAGTAAAAACTATTAGACTTTTCAAAAAGTTGGAATTTGACTGCTTTTATATTGCAATGTAAAGTTGCTATACAATATTTCTGATATTGGCATGTAAACATACCTGGTCATTACGTGCATTCATTGTGTGATCAATGCTTGCTCCAGCACAAACAATAAACTTGAGACAAGGAAGATGGCCTTCACTTGCAGCCAGATGAGCTAGATAAGATCAACATCATGAGTGTTACGGTAATTATGGCACTTAAATATTATACAGTAGATGATTAAATACAGTCATGTGCCTGTAAGTGCAAGCTTAGGGTAAAAAGTTTAAACCTGGTGTGCTTCCAGAATGATCCACTTCATCCACACTTGCACCCCATCTGGAGAGAAGCTAACAACATGAAAAAAAAATTAAAACTGAAAAGAGGTAAAGTTATAAATGGAGTTTCAAAATGATTATATTAATTTCAATGGATAATACTTCATTTTCATCTGCTTGTATATTACTAACAGTGTATGGTGAACCTCAGAAAACCCTAACATCAGAGATGTTCATAGAATGCGATTGGGTTCAAAGAAGGTGTGCAATCTACATATAAAAAAAAAATAGTAGCATTAAATTTGCGATTTTAAGGTTTCCTTGCATGTCCTGTTCTTTATTGTGATTGGGTGATTGGTCAGTCCTTGCTTGAACTGTCAACATCAAATCAAAATTTTAATGGTTTTCTGTATCTCACAATTGAAGTTGTTGAAATAAGTATTAACTGATTGATATCAGTTTCATAACCTCATACATGATCAAGAGATTTTTGCTAAGTTATAAAACATCAAATGCATTTGGAAGTACTGAAGGGTCAGCTAGGTTACCTGCAGACAACCCAGTCTCCCATGGAAGGCAGCACAGTGAACTGGGGTCCAACCCATATTGTCAGTAGCATTGATGTCCTAAATGATGTGAATTACAATCATGTTAGCCCCCATTATAAAATTTTTTTTACATCAAATTATCTATCTGCCAGGTAACTCACCACACCATGCCTGAGTATTGACTGCAAACAGTAAGAATTCCCATGGGCTGCAGCCAGATGTGCTGCAGTACAACCTGTCAAAAAAAGTCATAAGATACTCAATGATCAACTGTCTTAACTTGCAGAAAAATACCAATGAGCCCTGCAGTGCCAGTTAATAGGTGCAAGAATTGTAGACTGAATCAATTTTACCTCGATTGTCCTTGCCATTTAGATCAGCTCCATTTGCAGCTAAGGCCTTTAAGAAAAAGAAAAATTAAAAAAACAGTCTGTAATTGTTACACATTCAAAATTTATAACATATAATTGGCTATCTAACAGTTATCAAATAAATCAAATAAATTTGTTTCCTCATCAATGTAAGAGTGTTTCACCTGTAAACAAGAGTCCTGCCCTCTGATTGCTGCCAGATGTGATGGTGTCCACCCTTGAGGGGTTTTGTCAGAGTGATCAGCTCCATGCCAAAGGAGCCAATGCAAGCACTTTAAAGAAAGAAATAACATTAATATATCATCATATTTTAAGAAAAGCATCAAAACACACAATCAGAATGAAGGCTTCATTTCTGTAACAGAACTAAGATCTAGCTGTAGCAACATTAAAATGGGGTCTATTCATCCTCTTTGCGACTGAGGCTTATGGGAAAAGTGTGAATAGCAGCTCATGTCTTATTCTTATATTGGATTTTTAAAATAAATCCATTTATTACTTTATTTTAACACTACATTCTATCAATTGCACTGTTAATTTTCATAATTAATAGCAGGACTGTAATTTCGGCTCCATTTCTTTGTCAAAAGGAAATAAATTCCCTGAAAATAACTAATAAAACATACCGAGTAAGCCTTAAAATAATGCACTGTGCATTACACCAACTAATTAAATATTTAATAAAATAGTAACTCTTTTAGGACTACATTGAGCTACACTAGCGCTCTTACGGTGAACAGTCTGCTATTTCAAGCACGAAATTTCAAAAGAAGTAACTGTGTTAAGGGAGAGCAGTTCTGATTCTAATTAAAGCTCATAAAAATAATGCACAGTGGACAATTAACTGATCTGCAAATTATGCAAGGTAAATTACTCTAACGAGAATGTACCCGACGTGTCATCGAATAACCAACAGACTTTGAATTGCTTTGTAATTTAATACCTCTAAGCTACCATGATGAGACGCCCAGTGCAATGGAGTGAATCTAAATTTACCATCAGCATCGTTTATTCCAGCCCCTCTTTGAACCATACTTTGCAGTTCCAATACGTCGCCATAGCGAACCGCTTCATGAATATTAGCGAGGCGAACTTTCTCTGTATAAATAATCAAAATAAGAAATAATTATAACTAGCAGCTAGAACGAACCCTGACCCAAATATATACTCATCGGAATTACCTGGCATTGTTAGATAACTCAACTTCGAAAGATAAAACAATCATAGACGTAAGCAAATTTCAGAAGATGGCGGCACATTTGTAAACATTCAGTTGCCATGAAGAACCCGCTGCCCACAAAAACACCATTTGGTGTCAATTCGATTTCCGGTCTTAGGTTAGCCAATTGCGTCGCAGATTTTCTTGATGTGCGTTTTCATCTATTTCCGCGCGAATGATTTCGAGGCTTGTAACAAACGTTTTAGTCATCAACCTCGAAAGCTTGAAGTTCAGATTTATTATTGAAGGTTCTCGCTAAAGAAAAACATGGTGAAATTACATTATTTCAAAAATCAACGTTACAGCAAGCTGAAGGCACAATGTGAAAGAGATGAAAGACTTTTTGTTGATCCTGAATTTCCACCCGAGACGAAGTCTTTGTACTTCAGTCGAGCGACACCTCCCGAGCCCGTTGAATGGAAGAGACCGAAGGTATCGTGACATCAATTTTCTGCTAGACTTTCCTTTGTTTGAATTTTGTAGATTAACTAACGCTGTCTCGTAACTATGCTCGAACATAGCAATGATCCGATATGCCTCGGATCATAGGCAGACTTTGTGCTCATTTAGTGGCTGTTGAATTCATTCAAATATTTTGCTCTACATTGTGTTGCCTATCAAGAACGTTGAGCGAAAGGTTGATCGACTTATTCTCCCTTTCAAAATACGCACTTAAACCCACAGTCTTTTGAAAGTGCAAACATATTTACGCTAGCCAACGTTAGACATTCAATTAATATATTAATCCCCCCAGTATTGTCGTGTCACTAAGCTCTTGTAAGGAGCGAGCTGTTTAAAATTCTCGTGCCCGTCCATAATACACAATTGTAGAATCGAACTTTCACAGCAGAGGGTTTCACTTTGTTTTTCTATCTGCATTCCAGCGCTACTTTGCAATCACAGTCACATTATTTCCTTTTTTAATCGTGCCGTTGTACTAACGCATTGTAATTTTATGAGACTTCTGACTTGAAACATAAACATAATGTAAATTAATTAGTGACTAGTTATTCTATTATCGTCACTTGAACCATTTGCTTTCGCAGTGCATCAGTGACAAGTTCTGTTCCAAAGCACAGAGCTGAGATAATAATTGGAATTTTTTCGATTTTTGTTTACATGAATTTGAAACCTAAGTTTCAAATATTTTGTTGTTCCCCTAAATGTTAAGAGGTTTAAAATGTTATATTGTATGTACTATAATTGGGTTTTTACGTTGGTTCGCGTCCAATTCACACATTTTCAGATATTGCATCGTGATCAACCAGCCCCATATAGAGTCATGGTGAAGCAATATTGTGCTATAAATGAGCAAAAACAATGCAAGAAATTTGTTAGCGGCCATTCTAGTGTAATTAAATTCTTTATATAATGTTGAACTTACCAGACTGTACTGTGAACTCCCCGCCGATTCCTTCCCCACCCCCCTTATCTATTGATTTGCACCCACATCTTGATAAGTATTGGAGGAGTCAAAGAAGAGGGAAGGATGTGGTTTAACCCATTAATGGCCGCAGCTTTTGTAGAAAACTGTGTTTTGAAGCTAGTCCAGCAGATTTCGGGTCACTGTTGGGGTTTTAAAAGCTCAAACTTACCAAAAACCACTTGACAGCTCGTGCACTCGACGGCCTTTCGATCCAAATGCAAAATGGCGGCCTGAAAATCTCGGGCACGCGCAGAGAGCAAAATTTGGACATAGTTTTTGGGTTGAAAAGTCACGCCCCACTTACGACTTCTACTTTTCTCTCTTTCTCCTGCCCTTTTTTTCCCCTCTCCTTGCCTAAAGTTTCTCCTCACTTGCTGGAAATTGAGTAGGCTTCATTTTGGTGTAGAGATTTTTCAGAAACTACTCATTATTTTCAAAGCACATGCTCGGAAAGGTAGGTGGGTAGTGAAACACGATCTTCGTGCAGATTTTCCAGTCAAAGTGACACGGTTTTTTGGCTATTTCTCCAATCTCCTCCACTCAATTGCGCTCATTCTGGTATCGTCTGCAAGATATTTTCAACCCGTTCAAGTACATGCTCGAGTTTGTGCTCCAGAGATAAAATTGATGACGTCACAGGGCGTAGAAAGGGTGTGGGTCCCCATGGGCGCATACGGGTGCACTGGACGTTAATGGGTTAAAAAAGTGTTAAAAAAAATGTAGGGGTGGAAAACTGAGGGGAAACTAAGATATAAACACAACTTTGATTAAATTACTGCAAATTCTCATAAAAAGGAAAATAGAATGTTTGCATACTTTTTATGTCAACCTTGGCAGCCAGTCTAGACTGGCACAACCATTGTTTGAATTTTGAAAGACATTTAATCTAGACATCAGAAGTTTCCAGTTACATGTGGTCAGTCATGTGAGGGGAGAGGGATCAATTTTTTTTTAGTCCTGGTTAATCCTCTTGGGATTCTCTCTATACTTCTATAAAACACCAACATCAAATTCCTTTACAACCTTGCAATGGTGTGGGCTCTAAACAGTAAAAGGTCAAAATCAGATAATTATGAGCAAAAGGTGATAGAACCTGTTTTCTGCATTTTCTTCAGGACATCTGTGCCCCAGACCCCCCACAGCTGTTTGTAGATGGGATGAGCAGCCATGATGTCACACAAGGCAAACTTGGGAATTGTTGGTTTGTGGCAGCATGTTCCTCATTGGCTTTAGAGCCATCTCTGTTAGAGAAGGTTTGTATTTCTCAAGATGTTATGACAATGCACTGCTTACTAATGATGATTTTCAGTTCCTCTTGGTTAAACAAGGCAAGCATGTCAACAACAGATCTGAGATAACTTAACATTTTTTTTCATTATTTTTACCCCTTTTCAAGGTGATTCCAGATATGAAACATCAGGAGTGGGATCCTGAAAATGTTGGTAATTACCAAGGGATCTTTAGGTTCCGGTTTTTCCGCCAAGGCCAGTGGACTGAAGTTGTTATTGACGATCTTCTGCCAACAATTGCTGGAAAACTGGTGTACATCCACTCAACAGACAAGAATGAGTTCTGGAGTGCCTTGGTGGAAAAAGCTTATGCCAAGTAAGAAGAGTTCTTGGAAATTATTTAAAAGTGGCTTACTGCAGTACTTTCTATTCCAATGGAGTCAGGCAGGGAAATGGGTCACTTTTTTTTTTTCTTTTTAAGAATGGCAGGCTCATATGAAGCTTTAGAAGCAGGAAATACTGGTGATGCCTTAGTTGATTTCACTGGTGGAGTTTGTGAGTCTATCAACCTCAAGGATGGAGGTTATGGTCAAGATCAGGAGAAGAGGCTGGGCTTGTTTAAAAGTATGCAGAGAGCAATGCGAGATAAATCCCTGATTGGTGCGTCAATAAGGGTAAGTGCTGTATAATAGAAGGTATGAACTTGCATGCTCATCACATATGTACACCAGTCAGATGCACAAGGAATAACAACTTGATTGGGAAATGAAAGGAGTTAAAGTTAAGATTGCAATTACTTTTGATTTCTCTTGTGCAAATTATAGTCAGATGTGAGAAAATTTTAAATAATAAAAATGGAACAAAATAGTTGTGATTTACAAGTTGCCTTATAGTGAATTTGGTAATTTGGTTGTAATAACTAAGTTTGACCACCATAAAGAGTTAAAGAGCTGTTGTTTGGAGTGTTAATAGCCCTTAATCAGAGCGAAGGGCTAATGCTCTGAGGAAGAGCTAATGCTTGAAACATCAGCTTTTTAACACTTTATGGTGGCAAAATTGGAATTTCAACTTAGTTGATAAAACCAAATTACCTTGTTACCCCCACCGACACAGCACCACAGCTTCTTTAGAAACTTACCCCCATTATAGTGAATTTGGTTATATCAACAGATAGCAAACATTGTAGTTGTGTTAAATACTCACCCCTGCAAATAAGTTTATTCTTACTACATAATGATACTAATCAAAAATATGATGAGGGATTACAGGGATATAAGACTAACTTATTTTGACATATATGTTTTTTTTGCCATTAGATCAAAAATAGAGATGAGATGGAAAAGCGAACAGAAACTGGTTTGGTTATGGGACATGCATATGGTGTCACAGCAGTAAAGAAGGTAACTTTTGATCTGATAGGAAAAATGAAGGTGACAAAAACAAAAGGAATTCAAAGAAAGAATCAACAACAAATAAATTAAAAAGCAAAGTAGAAACAATAACAATCTCAAGTTGCATGCAGGCAATGATGTTGGTTCTAGGCTGCATGATATGCATTAGATGTATTCTAAGAATGGTTAATTTATTTGATATGGTTAGTTTTCTCCACTCAGAGAAATTTTTCATATATATTCAATTTTTAGCCACTGATCCTTGAAAAATGTACTTTTTAATGATTTACACCCAACTACAAATTTGAAACACACACCCATACATATATACTTGTTTATTGCAGATCACCATTGGTGAGGGTCTTTTCAGTTTGTTCAATCGACAGCATCTTTATATGATTCGTCTGAGGAATCCTTGGGGTCAAAAGGAGTGGAATGGACCATGGAGTGATGAGTAATGATAACTGAAAACTACCTCCTATTTGTTTTGAATGTTACTATTTTATTTTATTCTCATTCAATATCCTTGTTTAAGAGATAATTTTAATATAATAATGGTACTTATTACAAAAATATTTATCCCACTGTCATTTATAACAATTATGATTTCTATTTTGAATTCATATTATGTTAGCTCTGAAGAGTGGAAAAAGCTTAAAGCAAGTGATAGAGAAAAGTTAGGGATTGTCTTTGAGAATGATGGAGAATTTTGGTCAGTACAGACTTTATTTATAATTTGTATTTTCCTATTATTTAGGGTTTTGGTTTTAGATTATCTTTTGCTTCTTCTCTTTGCATGTTTTGTCTTCGGTATATGCCCATATTTACTGTTTGTGTGTTTTTTTGTAGGATGGCATTTGAAGACTTCTGCACATACTTCACAAATGCCACCTTGTGCCATGTCCTCAACACATCCATCTTTTCCTTCTCAAACAGATGGCATGTGTTTAAGCATAACTATCGCTGGTCACCAGGCTCCACTGCTGGTGGGTGTGTTGAAAATAGAAGCACTTTCCTTAAGAACCCGCAGGTACATAACATCATACTGTGATCTTTAATTTACCTGTATTCTATCATTTAGTTTGCTAGGTAAGTTTGAAGTAGTGTCCACATTTTTATGCAGGGCTCGCATTTTTTTTTCTGTGGGAAAACCCAAACCTTGCAATAGATATTTCTTGTGTCTTTACAAGACACTTTACTTCTACAATGCCTCTCCCTCCCCACCCAGGTGCATGTAAATGGTATCAGGGGAAGAGGGATTGGAGGTTACCAGAAATGGGCGAGACTTAATAGAAATAAGCACCGAAGTAGCTTTGTGTCATTGGGCTCAAGAAATATTTTTCTCTGAATTTTTCTGATTATCACAACACACATACACATACATAGGTTGACCACTCCCCATAGGGACTTTTCAGGGCCAACAGCCGCCCATCTCACCAGGGGAGGAAATCCACCACACAGTAATCTCGTGCGTGGGAAATTAACGTCTCCTACCCCTAACCCTGCAGGAGACGGGGCCTACGGTTTATTCGTCCTTATCCGAGAACACTAGAATATTTATCCATTTCTTGATTATAGAGAAAGGTAGCAAATTCTCCTCATTTATTTTACGACCATGAGTATTGGTCCGGCCGGGGCTCGACCTCCCGCACAACACAATCCGGCGCTCTAACCAATTGAGCTAAACCGGGAGGCGTTTATGTTCCTGACACTACTATTAATTGTACCAATGATTTTGTCAGTATGCTTTCACTGTCAAAGAGGAAGGTGAAGTGATGATCTCACTGATGCAGGAAGACACAAGAAAGGAGAAAGAACATGGTGCAGAAAATCTCACCATTGGATATTTTGTTATGAAGGTAACACTGCTAAAATGGCTACCGATGATCTATTCATTTCTGACCGTTCAAATCATAATTGTCAGAATACTTTTGTGTTAAATCAAATATTTGTCATGTTTTGGTTTTTTCTTAATGCCCATTATTACCGTAACATAACATTTTCTGGCATTTAATTTGACCATCTTGCACATTTTTCGCATGTCGGTCTATGCGTGGGTTTCTGTCTACTTGTTCGTCTGTTGGCCTGTTTGTCTGTCTGGTAAAAGAGAAGTTAACTTAATTGTTTGGTTTTGCGTCGTGTTGGCCATTGTCTGTCCACATTGGCCGGCTCACAGTCTGATTTTTACGCTTTAGGTGGAGGAAAACAGAAAGTATCGCTTACATACAATGTTTGAAAAAGCTGGTGATTCCATCTTCATCAACGCCCGAGAAGTGGTGAACAAGTTTCATTTCAAGAAAGGAAGATATGTGGTGATACCATCCACATACGAACAAAACAAAGCTGGGCAATTTCTGATGAGAATATTCACAGAAAAGTCCTCAAAAGCAATGTAAGTATCCTCATACCTAACGCTGTACTTGGCACTGACCAACTGTTCTAAAGTCAGAGTTTTCATCCCTATCTTATTTCTGTAGGTTTCTAAACCAGGAGCACTCCACCGGAAGTCAAATATTCTGCTGCTTCCCACAATGCCGTACTCCGCTTTGCGTGCTTTCCGTTACTGTTAAATCAGCCGGCGGACTTCAAAAAACAAGCAGACTTTCAATGAGTAAGTAAACAAACTCGTTGTTACCAGTAGTGAAAGGTTTATCGGAACGCCAACTGCGTTGTTCCTAATTAGGAAAATTATTGAATTAATTAGGTGGTTTGAATTTACCAGAAGCACTAATAAGCCCTGTAATGAACGGCCATCGTGGGTGACACATCTCATGCGAACTCATGATTCGTTCCCCATGCGTACATAACCTCTTGTGATAAGGGAAGTCTATTAATCGGGCGTTTTCCATGGACTCGTGGATACTTTTTCTCGGAAGGATCTCATTTCACCGTTATTACGACCCCGCCTCCCCCCCCCACCGGCATTGGTCGCAAGGTAGTGCTATAGCTAGGTGTTGAGAGTCTGTTCGGGTTCTATAAGAGAGCGCCGATTTGATTAAATGAAAAGAGGTGTTTTTATTTATTACAAATCAAATAAAATTTGTAATAAATATAAACACCTCTTTTTAAGCGTTCTTTCGTGTCGTTTCGTTCTTTCGTGTCGTTTCGATCTTCCAGCACGTAAAGCGTATATTATTTTTATTTTTATGATAATTTCTTTATATTTTGTCATAATTTCAGCGCCTGATCCATACGCCACGATCAGCTGTGAGGGACGAAAAGTCAAAACTCCTGTTCAGAAAGACTCGTTGAATCCACAGTGGAACACTGGTGCGCTGTTTTTTGTCAGGAGACCTCAAAAATCTCGCTTGGTTGTACAAGTAAGGATAGTTACTAGCTTTATCGTTTAACCGTCAATATAGAATTAATGCACAGTGGGGTTATTTTAATATTGTCACACCTTTTTCTGTGTCATAGTTGGTCTTCACGAGAAGTATACTTATTCAATATCCCCAAAAAGGATCGCGTATTTTCGTAGCTCTTCTATGTAGTAATACTTTTTGAAAGTAGTTTATCAACATGGCTGTCGCGTGACAACAGGTCCTTATGTAAGTGCCTTTCTCGTCGTCTTTTCATTCAGGTTTGGGATTACAACTGGTTCTGGGACTCATTCATGGGTCAAGCCAAGATAGCAATCGATATTAACAACAAAGCTGTCACAGAAACACACCAGCTGATGGGACGAATGCGAAATCACCAGGTACAAATGCCTGGCGTTGTGACCGTGGAAGTTAAATGTTACCAGGATCTGCTCGCCATCTAATGATTTGAATTATAATGTTTCGTTGTGAAAGAGAGATCTTATCAATGCCTGCTTTCATCTGACCAAAGGGAATTAGTTAGGAATAAAGTGCAAAGACGCTTTCTATTTCTCAGGTTTGGCCGCAATTTAGGAAGTAGTTCTTGCAGAAAGTAGCCGCTGACGTAATGTAAGTACCCGTGTGCAAGTTCCAATGTCACGCTTGTTTTTAAGGTGGCTAGCACTTGTTTCTTTGGTGCGGGAACGAAAACAAATGTGACAGTGTGTAGCATTTTTTTCCCTTTTTGTTCTTTGATAATTATAAATGTTATAATTATACAAAGAAAAGAATCTTTTACACCTTTGCCATGGTAGTTACTAATGACATGACAACACCCGATTTGGACAGACTTTATAATAAGTTATTTAACTCAAACCTATGGCGTTTAGTCGATAGCTATGGGGCTGCAGGTAATAAAGAATTTAGCACAGTTGAAATGGGAAACTTTAGGCGATTGTCGCTTAAAGACCTTTGTGGAATATTTTCAATGAAATACAGCCACATTGCAATTTATAGGAAATTAGCATGCTTTTAAAATAAAAAGATCACGATCCAGAAAATCGGTCGATGATTCTTTTGCACTGTATTTGTCACAAAATTGTAAGTATGGGGAAGAAAATTTTATTAATCGTTTTTGTAGTTCTAAAAGGAATACAAAAAGTATTTTTCTAGTCGCTAGGAAAGCATTAAAAGCCGTACCGGCTTTATCAGATTTAAAAGAGGTATTTCCCATTTATACGCCAGGTACTCTCACTAAATTAAGCTAAGTATCGCAAACGCAATTAGCAAACTTAAATTCCCTCGCTAAAATATAGCTTGGCTGCTTGCTGGTGAATAGTTCTCTGAACTTTTTCACCGGCATGCTAAATGCCACTAAGGAGTATGATAATTATTTATGTTAGAAGTGTAAGCTCACTTACCCTAGCTAACCTTCAATCCTTGAAATCAGGCTTTGAGTAAAAGGCTTGAATTGTATTTTTAAGCTTTCATGTGAGCTGTTAGTTGTTTTCGAAGTATTTCACACACGCTGAAAACGTCATTAGGTGTTTTTGCAGAAATAATACATGAGAAAAGTAAGGACCTTAAGTAAACGGTATATACCAGTACATATTTTGGCATATGTATTACAGATGACAAAAGATAGAGCGTATAAAGTTACAGAGCTTACCAAGTTGTCAATGAAGAAAGAACACTGATCTTACGACAGTAAACTGGTCGTAATTTCGGGTGCGGCTGGTTATTTGTTTAATTTTTTTTTTCTGTATACAACTATCGTAACAATTTTGTAACACTACGTGAATTGGGGAATTAGTGAAAAATAAATTTCAAATACGAAGTGAACTATGTATGTTTCCAGTTAGTTAAACAAAGGGATGAAAAGAGTCGCGCGCCTGACATGCATGTACGAACGTTTAACGCGTCGCGCGCGTGGCATGTGTGTGCGAACGAGTGATTGATACAAATGGAGATTTCTGCGGTAATTTACGCTGGCAATGAAGTTGTGACATACTATTTCGTTTCATTGATGTGAGGTATTTTAGCAAAAGACTGAAAGTTTTTCTTTTTGGATTGGGGGCGAAGTTGCCCAGACCAGTCTTAATGAAGTTTACTCTGCGAGGAGTAGGTGTAGGCGAGCTGTTACCAGCGAAATTACGAGGGTGGGGATATGAGCCTTAAAGTGATCTCTTTTAATATGATAACTGACGAAATGTTTCTTACCAATTCTGATGAGTTCATAGGATAAGACAGAACAAGATATATTTTTAGACTCGACCCAGACCCTTCCCATGCGCCACCATCAATGAAGGTCGCGATGATGTTACTAATAAAATCAAAATTTTGACGCGATCAAAGCTTTTATGAATCCAGTTGAGCGTGAAATCGTTTACTTTTGAGTTATGGTAAAGCTGCACTATTTCAAGAACCAGCGTTACAGCAAACTCAAGTCACAATGCGAAAAGGAAGAGCGTCTGTTCGAAGATCCTGAATTTCCAGCGAACGATAATTCGATCTTTTTCAGCCGTGCACCGCCAGAACAAATCGATTGGCGACGACCTAAGGTATTGTTAAAGCTCCGTTAGTCTTCGTTCTATTCAGCTGTCTCCCATATCATGCTTCAAGGAAAGCATTAAGGCAATGCGCAATTCTGAGATTTCATGTAGGTTTGTAAGAGCAATGTTTTTCAGAGGATTATCAATTTTTGTCAATTGTTTATAGTTAGACTTCTTACAGTATGTCACTTCATACTACGAACATACGTTCTAACTCAGATCATCCCGCTTACAAAAAGCAAACAAAGCCCCCCTTTTAAGAAAATTCCAAAGAAAAACTTCTAATCCTATCCGATTTTAGCGGACGATCAAAACTGTCATAGAAGGGAACAATCTTGCAATGTCACCAACGCAAATAAATGGGGGTTTATTGTCTGATGAGTTAAACTTTTTAAATTAACATACTCCTTTAAAAAACGAGAAGACTGAACGCTAGGATGGCAAGCCCCAATGATTAATGCTTGAAGAACGATCTACAACCTGACATTTGTAGGAGCTTCTTGTTAATTTTCAACCTTTGGTTTGCATGATTTTAGTGGGGCGATTTGAAGAGTACGTTTTTGTTTTGAAACTTATTGTAAACTCAACAATGGTGACCGCTTCATTAATTCAGATAATTCATGAATATTGAAATACGTAACAAAACTCACGCGAGCGTGATTGAGAAATAAAATGAACGCTTTGGGTGGCAGTCTGGGAAGTCAACTACCATTTTCAAATGCCTCAGGTTCAACGGAGATTAAATTTTGTTTCATGCTTTAGAGTGGAGTTGGGGTCTAATTTCACTAGCCTCTTTAGTTCCAGTTCCAAACTATTTACTGAGACTCCGTCAAGAATATAACGTAATAACATTTATAATAAACTGCCCAGTGGGTGGGGGAGATAAAAGCATATGAATAAGCATATATTCGTGCTGATCCAGTTCAAAAACAAATTATTCAATAAGCAACACCAAAAAAAAAAAAAAAGAAATGGGTACCTATACTCTTTAATCCACGTTAATTTGTGATCTTCTTTATAGACTCGTAAGCGCAAATCACCTAGTGACCAAGTATGTTGATCAATGTCATTTCAGCCACCCGTTTGATAATTCAAATATTTACGTTTATGTCAGTTCTCATTTTCTATTATCACAAGGTGTCAGCTGACGAGTCGAGCCATTTTTTGATTAATTCTTACGGTTAAAGAATTTTTAAAGCAAGAAGCAAAATAACAATCTAATTAAGAAAATAAGATTCAAGATCAGTAAAATTATCAATTTTCTTTCACTGCCTCATGTCTGAGACAGACGATAAATACTCCACTCTTTCCCACTCGAGTGTGTAGTTAGGAGTCCTTGAATGCTGCGACTTCCATCCACCTGCCTCTTTGTTTAAAAAAAGGAAATAATGATAAATTTATAAATATGACAATAATGAAATGATTACAAGACTTCAAGCTCTCCTCTACACTTGTAAAAGAAAACTATTAAAAATAAAACAAAAGCAAGACATCAGGACAAAAATGTAAGGCATCGAAAACGAAAAAAAAAAAAAAAAAAAAATTACCACGCCCCTGCATTCGCTGTCATGGAGTATTCTTGGTTAACAAATTTGCATAGCTTTGAAAAATCTTGATTGGGTAGGTATCCTGCACATGGTGATAAGGAAAACCAAGTGGTTTATTAAGGTTAACTTTAGAGATGGTGGTGATATATCATCCCTGCCTATTGTATATTTCATTTGTAAAATATATTTTCCATTATAAGGACATTTGCGAGCCAGACCCTCCAAGCCTGTTTGTTGACGGATCAAGCAGACATGACATCACTCAAGGAAAACTTGGAAACTGTTGGTTTGTGGCATCATGTTCAACTCTGGCCCTGGAGCCTTCACTCTTGGAGAAGGTATACAACTGACTGAAAAGAGCCTAACATGCTGCTAGATGCATGTGACCGGCCTTAAACTTAAATCTATCTCTGGGTAACATGAAACCTCCTGGGAACAGTCTAAACATATATAGTACTGGTAATCATATACTGAGTCTGTCTTGGGGTGGATTAAATAGGGTGGCCTGGAAGGGAGAAAGGCCGGAGAAGGCAAACAAGATCCCTTAAATAACTTGCTAAATATATTGTTTAGCTGATATTGGTGGGAAAGAAAAATCGGATTTCTCATCAACAAAGTCGATACATAATGTTCATTGCACTAGGCCAGATTCCGCCGACCGCTGACCAGAGGAATCGAGTTGTGCTATTGGCAAAACGCTTTACTTTTCCAATGCTTCACTCAACGAAAGACTAGAAATTAAAATTGTAAGCAGGAAAGGGGTAGTGTAATTGACCAGCATCTCATACCAGACAAGAAATGATACTCCATGTCGCAGGAAGAAAAATAGGATCCATTCAGAGGAAAACCTTCCTAACTCCCCAAAGCCTACGGTTAGAGCAAACTTAATGCTTGAGGGCATGACTTCTACATGGTCTACAACTAACTAGAGCTCGATAGCAGAAAAGAAGGAGAAAAATATATATATAACAAAAGCACGCTTTGATATGATCTTGGTATTCCTGAATTACTACGCTAGGTCATTCCTGACGTGGAGAACCAAGAGTGGGATGTAAAAGACGTTGGCAAGTACCAGGGTATCTTCAGGTTCCGGTTTTGGCGGCAGGGTGAGTGGACTGAAGTGGTGATCGATGATCTTCTTCCTACAATTAATGGTCAGTTGGTCTTCATCCACTCCTCGGTGAAGAATGAGTTCTGGGGAGCGTTACTTGAAAAGTCTTACGCCAAGTAAGTGAAAGCATTATTGTTAACGACTAATCACGGTCGGTTCATAACACGCAGTTTTGTTAAACAACGATTAGCTGTTTATTAGATAAACTCAACTCCATAGTGTTTTTAATCAAAGTTGAATAATCGGTACAAGATAATTTGGTTTAATCTACTGAGTTGATAATGTGAATTGGCCACCGACTGAGAGTTTATGAAGCTAACGTTTCGAGCATTAGCCCGTTGTCAGAGCGAAAGCCTCTTTAGAAACTTATCCCCCTGTTAAACAAACAACATGCATGAATTCTCACTCGCGACATTTTTTATTTCAGATTGAATGGAAGTTACGAGGCTCTGGAGGCAGGCAATATCGCTGACGCTCTGGTTGATTTCACAGGGGGGGTGTGCGAGTCAGTTAACCTTAAGGATGCAAATTACAATGACGATGAAGAAAGAAGACTAGAATTTTTCAAAAGCATGCAAAAGGCCATGGATAACAAGTCTCTTGTTGGTGCTTCAATCTCGGTAAATACTCTTGCAATGCTAATTGTATCTGTCCCTTGTTTCTGTTTCTATTCATTTATGCAGCCATTTCATATTTGGAAAATCTACGTTTGTAGGCTAAAAACAATGAAGAAATGGAAAAACGCACAGAAACTGGCTTGGTAATGGGACACGCATACGGTGTTACTGCAATAAAGAAGGTAAGCGAAGTTTGGCGCCTCGCCGCAAGCTAATTTGAATCGAGCTATGAGAAGATATGACTGCTTTTATAGTAAAAATAGAACGTTTTGGTTACTCTTTTTTTGTTCAGAGTTTTGATGGTGTGCTTCTGTTTTTGGTTTTGCTGTTGTTGTTGTTGTTGTTGCTGTTCGGTTGCTTGTTTGTCACCCTGTTTTAGTTCTCTTTTAGTGTGCAGGATGGCGAACAAAACATAGTTTCTTATAGTGAAACAGAGAAAAAGAATTACAAAGCCGCTACATATACCCACAGGAAAGCACGTGTAACAAAGTGGAATGATTTGTTTGACTTTTCTTTGGTCAGATCACTACGGGCGACGGCTTATTCAACCTGTTTAATCGAGAACATCTGTACCTGCTCCGACTAAGAAATCCTTGGGGACAAAAAGAATGGAATGGCGCGTGGAGTGATGGGTAAAGGACCTAGAGTCGATTTTAAGCTTGGGAATTCTTATTTATGAGGTCGAGTTTTCCTTTTGTTTTGTCCTTTTGTGTTTTTGTGTTTTTGTGTTTACATAGTTCAGAAGAGTGGAACAAGCTTGAAGCAGAAGTAAGGAGAAAGCTCGGAATTGACTTCGAAGATGATGGCGAGTTCTGGTCAGTAGAAGAACATCGATCATAATTATGATACATGCGAATACTTTAAAAATATCACATAGATCTGCATTGATTAAAAGAACTCTCGGGAATTCCTAGTATTAACCAGGGTTTCTACTTGTTCCACACAGTTACTGTAAATAAACAACGTCTGATTTATGAGACCTTTCCATTGTAGCTAACTAGGGATTCTAGGGATTCCAATTTCTACAACCCATGTTCTAAGATGCTTGGTCACTGTTCACTCGTCATATTTATTATCATTATTATTTATTACAGTAATTTTACAATCATTATCATTACTAAAATTGTTGATGTTGTCCTTGTTTTAGTTATTCTCAAACATCCTGCACGCATTTCCTCAGAACTTCTTGTCCAAATCAGTTGTCTAAGTCTCTTTTCTTTAATTTTTTACAGGATGTCGTTTGAAGATTTCTGCCGTTACTTCTCCAAGGCCACCATGTGTCATTTGATGAATACATCAATTTTCTCTTTATCCAAGCGATGGCACATTTTTAAACACAAAAACGAATGGAAGCCTGGTTCATCTGCAGGAGGATGCGTTACTAACCAGGACACATTTTTCAAGAATCCACAGGTATTAATAATATAATTCAGTGAGAATAATTTGTTTGGTCTCATGCAATGGGCCATGCCCTACTGGACATTGACGGGCAACCCTCTTTCCACTCTAAGCTTAATCCTTAAACCCCTGCAAGTGACCAGCATCTAATTTCTCCTTTCAATATCACCCCTGAATCAAACATTACAGTCACGAGAAGAGATCACCGACTAAAAATCAAACTGAATGCTACACAAATTCTCTTTAGGAACCTTAGGAAATGAATAATGAACAGTATGGAGAATATGCATATTGATGTAAGAGTGTGAAGGGTTAAATTCTTCCTGTCTGCCTATAACTTCAACTTTATGTTCCTTTGCGCATTGGAGCTTTCCCAAGCATCATCGCCACTAAGTTACGTTTTTTCGCATCCTTAGTACGCTTTCAGTGTAAAAGATGATGACGCTGGAGAGGTAATGATAGCACTGATGCAGGAAGATACAAGGATTGACAGAGATGAAGGCGGAAAGAATCTTAGCATTGGATATTACATTATGAAGGTATCACGTGCATATGAACAGAAACTTTTTGAGTTGTTCATTTTTTTCAGTTGGGGGTTGTTTATCACACTCAGGGAGAAAAGAGAGAGGTATTTTATCCCGAATATATATTCGCTTTCAGGAAAGTTTGCTTGCAGGACATCTGATTAGGAGGCTTACAATTATAAGAAGAAAACGAAAAGAAACAATTGAACTGAGAGAAAAGATGATTCCATAGAAAATTTCCAAAGATTTTACGAGAGGTTTCTAAATCTCATCTAACTGCTATATCAGCGGTTGTACAACAGCTTTGTGATCAGGGAATCAAACGCTAAGATATATACTGTCCTACTCATCAAAAGCCGTTGTTTTGAAAACTATTTTCAATTTTTAACCCGCAGTCGTGGTAGAACTTGCTGACATTCCAATCTTTTCTTTTTTCATTTGTATTAAGGTGGAAGAGAATCGCGGCTATCGTTTACATGTGATGATGGAGAAAGCTGGTGACTCCATATTTATAAATATGCGGGAGGTAGTGAACAGGTTTCAGCTGAAGACAGGAAGATATGTCGTTATACCATCAACCTACGATCCACATGTGGCTGGGAATTTTATGTTGAGAATCTTCACCGAGAAATCGTCTAATGCAAGGTTTGTAACTTGTCAGTGGAAGCTGGCGGTCATTAAGTGGGTTATTAAAAATAACCACCGTTCGAGTTGTGTCACCACTGTAAATGCCGAGGTGAAAGAATCAGATAAATTCAAATGAATCTGGGAAATAGAAGTGGAAATCTTGTTGTCCCTGACAAAAAAAAATGTTTATTTGTTGTTTAGCTTTGTTTTCAGCTCCTTACCTCTCTAGTATGTCGATGCCTTGCTGCGCGCCTTCATAGTAATCTAGCTCCCGATAGTTTTGATGTACAGAGAAAAGTTTTGAGGTCTACACTCCTTCGTGGAGACTCTTCCATGTTGAGCGTGGGGTGTTCATTAAATTCCGTTCTCTTATTTTTTTCCTGATGATTTTTGCAGAGCACTATTAAAGGACCACCCAAAGGGAAGCAGCATCTGCTGCTGTATCCCACGATGTCGCACCCCTGTGTGCATCCTGTCTGTTTTTGTGAAGTCAGCGGTTGATCTCCAGAAGAGAACTTTGTTAAGTAAGGATGTTACTTTAACCGGATATTTTGGGTAGACAGATAGCAAGAAGATTTTATTTGTTAGGAGTGATAGACAACGCTAGCATCAGCATTGAAACTATAGATAAGTTTGTCATGGGGGAGAAGATTTTTTTTTTCTTTTTGCCTAAACAATCCGTTTAGAGTTAAAGAACATGTGCGAATTAATATTTTATCCTCCCCTTCAACTCTTCATTTATTCCATTCTGTTATCAAGCTGAAATTTCCATCCAATTTAAAGGAAAGAAGCTTCCACATTATATGTCAATTCGAGTATACGAAAAGTTCTTCATTATGGCGTTGAACCTTCAAATGATAGTTTCCTGAAAAAAAGAAAATACTACAGTGGCAAAAGAAAATCCAGAAAAGAACGAATGTAGTTAAGGAAGAAATCAGTTATTGTTGTGAAGGACGCTTTGTTGTAGTGTACTCGAGGTGCAAATTCTAGAATCACGTGACAAGAGGAGAAGTTTTTAGTGGATGTTATTTTGCGACCACGTGGATTTGCTTTACCAGTGTTTTTTAGGATCGTAATTCGTCATAGAAATTGCTGTTTTATGTCAAGTTGGAATAAATGGTTTAACTCAGAACCAGTGATATCACAGTGAAACAAAACTTTATGAGAAAATCAGCTAGTAATGATTATTTCTTTCTTTCTTTCTCTTCCTTTAATCGTTTTAATTTCATATCAGGTGTTGACCCTTACGCTTTGATTAAGTGCGAGGGGAAGACTGTCCGAATTCCTACCGTCAATGACACACGTAACCCGGAATGGAATGCAGCTGGTGCTTTGTTTTATGTCAGGAGACCCAAGAAAACGCACTTGGTGGTACAGGTTAGTTTCAAATTACCATCAGTTCCTCGATCAACAGGGGAACGAGTGTTGAGAGAACATAAGAGTTATTTCAGCTGGAGATGAAGCGACATAACTCCCAGAAAATGGTCTTATGTGGTGTTCTAATTAAATATGTATGAGCTTAAAGGATAGTTTACCGACAACGCTGACATTTGCGGTTTGAGAGCGTTTTGACCAATACAAACGCTACACAGTTTTTAGAGTTTTTTTCAGCTTGTTTTCTACCAAGAAAAGCATTAATAAGTGATATAAGGGTTTCGGCTAAAGGGGATTTTAAACATTTCCCATAAGTCTTAGTGGCGCTGTTACACTGTTGAGACATAGTTGTCTTTGGAGTTGTGAATGCCTGTACACTTGTTGCCTACACAGATAAGCAATTTTTATTTTTTTTATCGTTTGTCATTGCTATTCTTCAATCTCTAGAATTTATTGGTTCGCATTATTATCACCAGTATAACAATCATTCTTATCATCGTTATTATTATTCAATAATTTTTATTATCAGTAAATTATTATTACTTTTATTGATGTTATTTGCATTTTAAGTACAACTTTCATTTTTGATTTTCTTACCAGATTTGGGACAGCAATATGTTTTGTGACTCCTTCCTGGGTCAAGCAAAAATGAGGATCGATATTAATAACAGAACAGTGGTGCTGTCTCATCAACTGATGGGTAGAGGGCGGAAACATGCCGAAAAGATGCCTGGTGCTGTCACACTGGAAATTGCTTGTTATCACGATCTAACGGCTGTTTGATTTCAGTGCGCTTTTGGTAAAAAATGGCCATGGAAAATATGGCCAGTTTGGCATTCCTTGTAATTAACAGTACAGAGAAAATCGTCAAACTGAAAAGTAAAGAAAGAGATCCACTTCTGGGGAAACAAGATTCTTGCAATAGTAACAGTTAACAGACTGATTCACAACCAGAATTAAAGAAAGTCATGGAGGCCCGATCATACAATGGTATTCGTTCTCAGCTAAGGCTCAACGTGTTAAGCTTGCAAACTCAACCGAATGTGCACATTACAAGCTTTCATTGCAGTTTACTTCCTATCATTACCTCCCATCAGAGGCCTGTATCTCAATTGTCTTAGCAGTAGCTGATATTATTGACTCCTTGTGCTATAGAATACGATTATACAGCCTTCGTACTTTACACGTACTCGAATGCTAGTGTGTAACTTTGGATAAGTACGCCCGGTAAGGTTGGATTCGCGCTAAAATGGGATTAAGTTACATTTCGTACAGGTATTACGGTCTTTTGAAAATGGTTCACTGATCTTTTCCTCGTTATGTGTTTGAAACTTAATCTTCAGTTTAACTTTGTCTTTGTCAGAATCCTTTTGATAATGATTATAGAAAAATCAAAATGTGCCACTCTACTTGCAGAAAACTAGTCGAAAAACTAGGAAAATAGCCGCATTACTAAGGAAAACAAACATTTATTAACGAAAATAAATGCAGTATTACAAAAAGTATTTAACCACAATATTAGAATGATTAATTCAAATGAATAAAAACCTTAAGTGGGTATTTTATAACAATAAAAGCTCAATCCAGCGTTGGCAATTGCCTTGAGATCACTTGGTGACCAGAAGTAAGTAATAAGTATTTCTACCAAAAGAGGATTATATATTTTTTCTTTTCTTATAAGCCCGATGTATAAATAGCAAAAACAGACTGCCTACGTTACACGTGAGGCAGGACACGTAGTCAATCGGGGCTTTTTGGTTAACGCTCAATCAACAAACCCTGGTCTGAACAGAGAGAAAGCAGTGCATTGAAATACTTGGCCACTTAAAACTCTCCATTACTTTCCGAAACCCCCTCCCCCCTCCCCCAAAGAGTTTCACTGGTCCGCCATGTATACTCCAGGGTGAAAATAGGCAGCTCGACTAACCCTGTACGTCATTTCTTTTCCTTGTTGAAACTATAGCGATGAAAATTAGGAAACATCCCCTCAACGGTTAATAAATGTAAAACAATTTTTTTCGTCAAAAATTTTGAAGGTATAAAAACTTTGTACACACGTGAACTGATATGTATGCTTTATTCTTTGCCGAGTTCGTTTCAAAGCCGCTATTTAATCAGGAACGCAAACAGTTCTTGAAGAAAGACACCTACGATTTGGTTTCATATCTTTGTTTTGTTTTTTTGTTTTTATCATTTCTACTGCAAACGTTTTACCTCGCTAGGACTCTACTAGAACTCAGTCTGTTAAGACTTACGCTTCTGCATCTGAGTACAAAGAAATGGTTTACACAACTCTAGTGTTAGAAAGCCATGTAGGCAGAACAACAATGATTTAGACCTAGGCTAGGGCCAAAATCTGATGGCCTGCTCACAAGGAAGTAGCAGTTCATAATTCAGTGGCATCACCACCACAGTCTTACTAATAATGCGGAAAGGTTTTGTCTTACAACACTTGATTGTTCCAGACCAATGGGCAAACACTGCTGATGAACGAAAAATTTGGACAGGAGAAATAGGTCGCAAAACAAAGAAAAAAATTCGCCTTGTTTTGCCCGAATGAATTTGCATTGAAAATGCACAGTAGTCCTACTTGCTCAAGAATCCAATGGTCTCTCACAAACAACTGTGTTGTTCACTAAGTTACGAGCTGGTATAAAAGGTAAATGGCATGTTGCTTGTTTCTTACAACAAGTCAGCTAACATGGGCTTTTCAAATTCAACCAAAGTATCGTAAAGATAACCCACGTCAATAAAACGCTGTCTACGGCTGTGCATCAGAGCCTCAAGACATGGATTTATGGTTCTCTTGTCAAGGTAACAGATCTCGACGGCGCTCAGACCCAGTCTCTCTGCAAGCAGCTTCCATTCATCTCCACCTGAGAGAGACATAAGCGAATTCTTGGTATAAGTGAAGAATCGTTAAATGCTCACATATGTCCTACGGTAGTGAAATAAAGAGCGACACGTCTGGTCACCTGTGATCCCTTGCCATAATTGAAGATAATTAAGCGTAATTGTAACCGCTTCATTAGAATCATTGGTCAAGAGCGTTCTAGATACGTTTCACAAAAAGTTACACAACAAAACAGAAAGATTGGACTATTAATATCATATTGAAATAGATGACTTCCCATGACAAAAACTTCCTAAAAACAACTTTGCCGCCCTAGAACAAGTCGTCACTGGTAACCTTTGCTTAATATTGACCTAGATATCAAAATACGAATGCATTTTATAGAGAAGACAGTTAAAGTCTTTTTTACCACACAAGCTGATCGTTAGTTCCTTCATCTGGCGATGGGGAATTTTTGAATATCTAGTTCTTCAGGTAAAAGTGGGCCTAAACAGGAGAAATGCATGAGGATACTGAGATTGTGGCAGACGGAAATCCACATCACTTTAATCACCTGGAAAAAACTTTTGGATTAAAATAAGCTAACGGACAACCCTGCCCTTTATTTTAACACACAAATAAATTAACAAGAACGGAAGTAAAAAGGGAACAGAAAAAAAAGGCAGATCAACTTCACGTTTAAATTGCTGCAATTCAACTAAAACTGGTTCGCCTAGTTTGATTGTCTGGTTGATTGAAGGTAATTCTGAAAGGGACCTATTGAGTGGTGTTAACAACGCACCAGCAAATATTCGAAGGCGTGAAGAAATTTGATATTCTTAAACTCTTAGTAAACATGTAGTTGCCAGTGGTTTCTAGAACGAAGGTTACAGACATAATACATTAAGAGCGGAACAGCTAATTACAACGATGAAATAACATAGGATGAAATGTGAAACAAGCGAAGATAAGAGACATTACCTGACGATTTGGGAATACTGGCTAAAGAACTAACATTGGTCCACCTTTAACTAACGAAGTCCTTGCAAATTTTATAACCCGCGCGAATGTGGAGCTATTTATGCTATTATACGCTGGGACTGGGGCGAGGCGGGGGATTGGTTTCTACAAGTGGAAACAGTCACCTGAGTCAGGTGAAGAAGTATCCAGTATCATTAATCTCTTCGGTCAGTTTTTCCGGGATACTATTGGCCGAAATGCTTAATCAGGCCATTGGTTTCAAGAACTAAGCTTACACGTACTTGTCACGGTTCATTTACACTGATAAGAATTTTCAATTACTTTTCGGATCATGCTCCAGTTACGAAGACTGACTACTCTTTATCGACGAAGCACATTGAAATCGGTCTCAAGGTTTGAACAATATCTAAAAGAGAAAGATAAGCCCCACAGATGAAACGATAATTCACAAAGAAATAATTATGCTCAAGGTTTGAACATTAGCCAATAGAGGAAGTGCAACAAACACCCTTGTTTTCAGAATTGAATAACAAAGAAACAATAAGCAAAACAAAAGAGCTAAATACCTGCAGTTCCAGGTGAAGTTATTTTCCTCAAATGCTTTGCTACTTCGCTGCGATTTTCTCGCTTGGCCATTCTAGCAAGGGAGCGGATTATTCTCGTGGTTTCAGGCGCAGGATTTGTCAATGCCTCCTGGCTTAACTGCATCTTATCAAGGATTCGAACGACGACATCTGAAGCATCGTCGCTCGACTGAAGGGACTCGAGAGCACCACTCGAGATAAAAAGTTCTTTCGCTTCCCTCTCTGAACCAAGAAAGAAACAGAGAGCATATAGTGAAGAACTGAGGAGGAAAGGGATTCCCAAGGCAGTTGAATATGAATAGACCTGCTACACAGGGAGGGAATTAAGCATCACAAGAAGAATAAAAGGAAAAGCAGATAATTTTAAGCTGAACTGAGCCAACCCATGTTTCACATTCATATTTTCCTTTAGAGGTGAGTGTTCTCACGAGAGCGTTTGGTACATCGCTACATTAAGGACAGTGTAGATCATATTGTACGAACAGACACAACATAATAATCATGATAATATTAACAATAACAAGAGACCACAATGGCCTTCAACTGGGCTTCCCTCTATGATGGGGGTGTTACTAAACAAAAAATAGCGCATTAACGAGTCAAAGGGTAACAAGAAAACGAGTAACGGCACTTTGCTCCTGTAAGTAAGCGAGCCCATGACTTTTTGGAAGCTTTCGGATCAATCTCACGAAGTAAGATTGAAAACACCTCGGGATTTACTTTCAATCGATCTTTAACTTAAACACGCGAATTTTCAACGCGAATTTTCTTTTTAGAGTTCGAGTTTAGGCGCAAACCCAACGCTATTTTGAATCGCTTTGATTGTTTACGATCTGATGTGAAACACGAGCCGTAAGAGCTGTTAAAGGTCATTGCCTGATTAATTTAATTCAAATATCCTCTGTGGACATCAGCCGCTTGGCAACCATCGGTAACTGAAACACTTTTGCGAATGAGAATAATCGTGTGCTTTTCAAACTTCGTGGAGTTGACTGCCGCATATCTTTCATTTAACTCAGTGAAAAAAAAAAGGAAACCTGCGATCACAAATGATACATTCCGTCAGGTATACTGTTTCCAGGCAGAATACTAAAACCACAAATCCTTTTAATACACTTTTGTTAAAATTATTGGAGCTTGACAGCCACTGCCTATGTAGAAAGGCCAAAAGTGCCTTTTTGGAAGATGAACGATGAACGCGACCGAATTTTAAACATGGGGTTTTCCACAGAAACCCAAATAATCATAATGAAATAGTACAGGCCTAGAAAAAGAGGCCAACTCACCTTCTGCCGTACAAAGCTTTCTTGAAAGGCACTCTTCATGATCAAGTTGCACTTTCTGTAAATGCATCAACAGAATACGAGTTAACTTAAAGAGGTAATCTGCATTCGTTTAAAAACCATTAGACCCTGAAATGAGAAACTACTTAATAGTTAATACGCCGTGACTACAAAGATTGTTCGTTGTGATTGATGTTACTGCAAAATATGAAAGAATTAAGTTTTTAACAGAAAAAAATTAAATATATGGTTAACTTAACCTGGTCATCCAAAAAGGTGAACCACGGTGCAAACATCCTGATGTCGATTCTGGGATCAGTAGCACAGGCTGACCTGGCACAAATAACGAATGGTTGATCTCGAGCAAAATCGGCTTCTGACCAGAAGTGCAGGCAATGCTCTTGCCTACAGTTTTTCACTACATGGTCACGACAAAAGTCAACACAACTCCCTCGGCAACACACTGAACAGAGCACTTTCAGCTGCCATTCCATGTTTTTCAACCAAGGAAACTCCTTGCGCATACATTCCAGCATCAACACCAACTGCCTTCTCACAGCCCGTGCGACGTTCAAATCGGGAGTTTGATCACTTACAGTCGCAGAGAAATCGGTGTTACCTCTTGAGCTGTTGGAAGTATCACAAACTTCTGATGCACGGTGAGCAACGACTTCAATAAAGGAAGAGTGGCACAGGAGAATGATAGAACAACCATCCTGGGGTAAGACCAGGAACCTCGCAAAATTGCGATACAGCTGTGGTTTGTAAGGACAAGGCCATTTTTTAGAACACCACTGGTAAAACTGTAGAACCATTCGCGGAAACAAGCTGGTGGGAACCTGACGGGAGTGGAACGAGATATACAAAGACGGAAGTCGAGAAGATGCAACGAGACTGACTACGTCTTCAGAGGGATAAGACATAAGCATGGACGGCACAAGGTACTGCTTCCTGTCATTTGTCGATGGCCATTTGCACATCAGGCTGAATTTCTCCATGATTTGAGTAAGACTTTCAAAGGTTTCCCTCTGCTGATACAAAGTACCCCACACGTGCTCGAGCAGTTCTTCATGTAGAATACCAGTTTTCTCAAGTTCGAGCCAAAGGTCTTCAAAATGACTTCCTTCTACACCATACGGCTCGACAGTTATTACCCTTTTAAAAACATCGATCAGCCACTGAACGTCTAACACAACCATCTTGTTTAGACTTGGTGTGTCATCAAAATGAATTACAATACGCTGGTCGTGTAAAAAGTTTAACAAAGTCGTAAATTCTAGTTCGTCAGAAATGTAGCACGTTTCAAATGCAATTTGCCTTGCTTCTTCAAAAGAGATCCATTTAATGTCCTCATTGATCCTGCGGTGTAGTTCTTTTTCAAATTTTAGCCACTTTAATGGAATGTCCTCCCTGACATGCGGTAGCTCCTCAACAACTGAGAGGATTGCTTGTCTTAAACGTATGACTTCTGGACACTCGTGCTCGGTACCCGCCTTGGTGTTGTCTACAGCAAAGACACTTTTAAACAAGTGGGAACTGTACAGCTTACCTTGAAGGGATCCAAAGATGTTAGCTGCCAGCGAGGCAGGATCTTGATCACTATATGCCCTATCAGCATGAGTACAAACTAAGAAAACCGGGGGAAGCTTTTTTGGCAGGTTGTCTGATTGGTTCATATTTGAATAATGACCGTTGAAATGATCGACTAAGGAAGCCACAGATGACATCCATGAGTCCAGGTAGTCGAAGTTGGTCTCCAAACAAAACCTGTCTTGTACATTGCCAAACAATCCTCGTCTTTCGGATGGACTAGCTCGATCGTTGGGATTCCGGCTGAGGTCGTAGGCTAAGAGATAGATGGCTCGCTTTGTCAAAAAGAGAGGGTGTGTTACATAGTAAACCAGCTGCCCACCAAAATCCCACAGAATTGAATATATCTCTTCCTCGTCGTCTGACTTTACATCTTCGAACAACTGACTTCTTATTAAGTCTACTAACTCTTCAGGCATGCCAGGTTCAGTCAAGGCCTGCTTTTGCGCTTGGGCTGAGTCATTTGTGTGGCTAATCCTGTGATTTAATTGAAGGCTGTCATAGGTCATAGGGGGATCATACTTGGCCTGAGAGTTAGGCGTAGTGTCAGTTAATGTCCCATTTGTACCATTACCAGTCTCTTTCGTATCAATCAATTCATTTGCAACAAGTCGTGCTGCTTGGTGTTCAAATGAAGTGGTGGGACTACAGCAACTAACTTGATCGAGGTTTTGCAGCCTCCATACCTCGGTGGTTACTTCAAAAAGGAAGGGATCCACCTCTATACCCGAGGTACTCTTCTCATTGGCATCAAACCTTTCTCCCTTGAGTGACCTTTTCAAACTGGTCTTTCCTGCCCGATCTTGTCCAATTAACATGATTGGCAATCTTCTTACCTTAGTTTTTCCCTCCATGAGAGCCTTGTTGTAAGCATACAATGTCAAGGGTCCACGTGCAAGGATTTCTTCGGGAACAATGGTGTACTCTGTGCATGAAACAAACCACTGTTGTTGGCGGCAGGGTATTTGTCACTCACTGAACAAAAAAGCTGAGACAACAGCAACATAATCATTACTCAAATATAATTTATTTACCCTCGTTCTTCTTTGCTTTGACATCTTGCGATCTCTCCCCTTCGTCGGATTTATACGCCGCAATGGCCACAAATAAGTGAGCCATGATCAAGGGTACTAGTTCACCTAAATCAACAAAATTTCGCATTTAATGAAAAGAATAACATCAAACAATCGCAGTAATTCACACCACACACTCACAAACGTTAGCCACCACTGTGACATTAAGCAATAACACCCCCTAAATTTGATCGTTTAATCTAAAGAGCAATTAAAAAAAATTGATGTTCCATGACGGTTATTGTTTTTTTTCGAGAGAGAGAAATTGCCTCTTGGTTGTTTTCTTGAACAAAAAAGAAAAGAAAGAAAGAACGAAAGAAAGAAAGAAAAACGAACCAAAAACACAACCACAAAATGTTTAGTCATCGAGGTCGGTACGGTCGTATGTGTCGGATACATTGCTCTCACCAACCGTAAAAGGGTTTGTTGCCAGCAGAATTCAGACTGTGGTCATAGGTTTTATTGCATTTGTTAAAATACAAGATATCGTCGAGTTCTGCCATACTCTGCAATAACCCATTTACATTGATAAGATCATGCATTTAGTTTACCCAATAAAGAAAGAGTCTTTAAAATCAGACGTGATAGGTTATAAAGAAAAATCAAAAAGAAAAAATAGTATTCATTAGAGAATTAAATTATAACCTGATATTGGCACACGTCCAGTTAGTAATCCAACTCCGGTTACCATCGCTGATAAAAGTAGGCTCTCCACGGGAGAAATATCTTTCCTCGCAGCCTCTTGTTTAAAGAGAATGTTATAGTGCTCCTCGCATGCAGCGTCTAAAAGTTCCCTTTTAAGATCATCGATAGCCTTCTTATAAAATGCTCCTCCTAAACGCACTAAGATATCTTGGATATTCTTCCAGAAGAAGTTAAATGCTGTGTCATCAATTGCAGCCTCTTTAGAGAGATTGTGAATCATAACATAGTAGAATCGAAAGCGAATGATGTCCGCATGGATGGTTGTATCTGAGATACAGGGAAATTCATTCCACCCTGTCTCAGGTGGATGAAGATAACAGATGCTCATCAGAAGAATTCCTAGCAGGGCTGTGTCAAAGTCCCTTGAAGAAACTGCAGATCGAACCGAGGGGTACAGTTTGTCCCACTGTGAAGAGCTGAGGACTTCTTTCTCCCAAAGTGACCGTAATTTAGCAGTTATTCGAGGATTAGCTAAGAGTTTATCAAGGTCCCCTGAAGGACGAACCTTGTCAAATGTCGCTCTCAACACCTCAGATCCTACTTCAACCAGAAGGCGGTATAACCGGTAATAATTTTCCTTTTCACTAGATGCAAATGGAGATGTTGCAGAGGCCATCGCATAGGGCTGAACAAAGACAAAAAATAACCAACATGAACTAAGGATAAAATAGGATTGATAGTTAACCACTATTCATTCTAAGTGAATAGTTGCTAGTACATGGTCACATAGAAGTGGATATTTATTGAACCAAGAAGTAGCAAGTATCCTACACTGAGGTGAATAGTAATTGTTTTAGTACATTATGATACTAAAACAAGGAAATAATACGCACAATTTGACCCCTTTATTCATGCAACAATTACAATATTTTCAGGCCCAAATCCTGCGTGTGTTGCCAGGAGGTGACTAGCAAAGGATATTCAATACTATCCACCGTTTTAATATACACTAATACTAATTATTACTATTATTACTGTTAACGTTTTCATTATCATTATTATTTTCTATAAACATGTGGATGATGATGATGACGATGAGGATAATGATAATGAGTATGGCTGATTGTCACTAGAAGCAGGTAACACGCACACAGAGAGTATAGGAAACACAATGCTAATTGCACGGTGGCCCTGAATGTACACTGAGAGAAGTGCATCAAGCAAAGGATAGAGTCTTCTTAAAGGTGGTATGACCACATCAACCTTTCAAGTTGCAAAGAATGGTGATTTGAGGAAAACCTGAGGCACAACAGTCTTCATGGACAAAGAGCTGAAGCATTTATAATCAGTATGATGCTACACAAGTTTGGACACTAATTGGCACTGCCAAACCAGCAAATCATTAATTATTATACATTAGACTTACTAAGAAAATAATAATAATAAAACCTAATTTTGATGATGATGATGATGATGATTATTATTATTATTATTGTCGCAGAGAAATCAACTGAATGCTACATTCAAATCAGGCAGCTTATTATTATTATTATTGAGTAAAGTTTTGCAGTCCCTCGAATCTGCATTGTTTAGGACTGCAAACATTTTATGGCATTGGTAATAACCAACAATATAAATAAACCAATCACTTCTGCCAAGACTGTTTCATTCAATTTATTAGGTATGTTTTCAAGATCAGAATTTATGGACATTTCAATTATAGGGGAGCTGAGTGGTGAGAGCACTCGCCTTCCACCACTGTGGTCTGGGTTCGATTCCCAGACCTGGTGTCACATGTGGGTTGAGTTTGTTGTTGGTTCTCGTCCTTGCTCTGAGGGTTTTTCTCTGGGTCCTCCGGTTTTCCACCCTCCGCAAAAACCAACATTCCAAATTCCAATCCGATCTGGAAACAGTGGACAAAGAAGAGCCACCCAGTGGAATGTACATTGCTAAATTATTTATTATTTATTATTATTTATTATTATTATCTGGTTTCCATCATTAAGAGCCACTGACCATAAATATTAAGAATCTACTGACAGTTCCAAAATGTTGTAATTGATTTTAATTATTCTAAAGGATCCTTTTAATAAACCTTTTTAAAAATTATATCGAAAATTTCTGTTGCACTTTTTTTTCTCTGAAAAATCGAAAACTTCAAAATACACCTAGATAACTGTTTTACACTCCGTAAAGCAATGAAAAATTAAACAACTTTGTATGCTACAATGCAATGCCATCCCGCCTTTAAATTTTATATCCTTTTATCTCTTGGAGGTAAAATAAAAGTCAACTTCAGTGTCCTATGAAGAGGTCTGCCTTATATATTAACAAATCATAACATACATAACTTAAAGCTTTATACTTGCATTTTAATTCCTCCAATTCTGTATCTTGGCCTGCCATAAGTGGCCCGCCCAGGTTTAAAAGATTTTGGGCTATTTTGTCAAAATGCAATTTGAACCGCTGATCAGCTCTCACGACCTATTTAAAGGCCTTTAAAAAGATCTGATGTAATATATTTACAAATCAAAATATACATCATCCTAAAGCTTTATCCTTGCAGTTTAATTCCTCAATTTTTCTTACTTGGCCTGCCATAGGCAGCACGTCCAGCTTAAAAAGAGTTCAAGCTAAAATGATAAAAAAAGAAAAGTGTGACAACCGTTGAACGGTTGTCACACAAGAGATCATGAATTTGGTACATTCTTGGCTGCCAAGCTGAAAGATTGGCCTTGACCTCTTGTGTGACAGCGGTTCAACAGATCGCATTACATTTTTCTTGTCACTAAGAACTAAGGCTTTGAATAAAAACATCAGATGAAATATACCCAAACTGAGATAAATTTAAGGTGATTCCCCAGTTTTTCACTGTGCATCTCCACTACACATAACATCAGCTCTTAATTTGCAACTTTTCCAATATGGCAGCCATGCAGCCTAGAAACAAGAAAGCTTGTTTTTGAAGACTGGAAGAGTTTAAACTGAGAGAAATGTCTGTGGTTAACTGTAAAAGACTCAGAAAAGTTTCTGAGGAGGATGAAATGGGCACTGAAGGGAGCCTGGGTATCAAAATATCCCCACACCTTTTTGTTGTTAATTAATAAAATTTTCATTGAACTTGTTGCAGAGAAAATACGAGCAAATTTTCAGTTACAAATATGAAAAACAATACAGAAAGTAACAAGAAGTGCACTGTTTCTTATTGTGATGTGATAACAATAACCTCCACTTCGACACACAAAAAGCCACCTCAGGAAATGTTTTTGCTGGAGATACACAAAGGGAAATATTCTCAATATCACAAAAAGTTAACTCTTCACTTTGCCTTTTTTACTTTCCTTGCATCTCTCAAGGGTATTTTGGCTTAAGTTTGCAAATGAGAAAAATACAATTCTAAGTTGCATTGACACAAACCACCCTTGAGGCAGGTATTTGCACCCACAATTTCTCAGAAGTTAGCATGGGCACCCCGCCTTTCACCCCATCTCATTTTTGCATTTTACATGCATTGAGTAACTAGCAGGAAAATTTCACATGAAATTTTCACATGCATGTGAAATTTTCCTAGAGGAAGGTATGAAAAGCCTATAATTATAAACAGCATCTGAAAACATTTAATGCTCTTGAAGAATGCTTTGACATGTATATGTTTATTCAACACAAACTTGCAAATGCCCCCTTAGACTCTGAATGGATAAAGAATGTAAAAAGCCTGAATTGTACATAAACTCTGACGTAGCAGTTTAGATTTCGCTACGTGTTTAAGCTATACTTTATGTAAGCGGAGTTCTGGTGTCTCGGGATAGCACAATAGCACATGTAAAACTAGAGTGTGCAAACCGTACAATAAAGGTTGATCTTCTGTGAGTAATAGCGCAGAGTATACTTCAAACTCACAGGCCACCTATTTAGGACTGGAGGAATATGTGAATATTGTGGCTTAAAATAGTTTAGGGTGTGATCTTGAGATATATTGTTGTAAATCAACCTTGGTACTGTACATTCTGGACAATTCATTTAACCCTAATACCAGCAGCCCATGAACTTGAATAACAGATAACTTGAATTGACTTGAATTGACAGATTGACTTGAATAACAGATAACTATTTAATATAAAATTCCCTTTCACTGTAGAGTGCATTTCGTAAGACAATTGTCAACTTGAATGGTGTGGAAGTTGATGCATTCACATTTGATTTAATAATGGTGATTAAACTGAGTGGATTGCAATTTGGTCTGAAGTAACACATGTTGTTCAAAAGTGAATGGGCACTCAACAGGTCAGTTCACTCTACTGAAAATTTGAAGTAGATTTCAAAGCCAACTGTACAACGTAAAGCAATCACTAATTTAATACATACTTTTAACTTAAATCAGTACATCGAATGTAGCATTTTCAATGAATGGCTGAGAAAGAATACAATTTAAAGCAAAACACACTGCTAGGAGCTAATCAAATAGCGAGGATTTAAAGAACACTTGAATTACATAAAGAGTGTAAATCTCTTTGGAGCTAAAGATGGCCTTGGATGCCCTGATAAAGCGTTCTTTAGTGATGAAGTTTTTCCTTACTATCATTAATTACTTTCTGTATAGGCTCCAAACAAGTAAATTGTATCTTGAGTTTATCTTGTCAGAACTTCTAGACGAAAAGTTGTTCTTAATTAGTTTAACAGGACAATGTACGACATGTATTAATGTAAACAACTTGGTTAATGAAGTCATTCATTTTTTCATTCAATTCAGCAGGACGGAGTAAAAATCAATAAACCCACTGAAAGTAGGGCTAATTCTATACGTCTAATTGCATTACAACATTACAATGTGAATTCATGATCATGCATGTACCTTATTCCTAGTTTTTCCTAGCTTACATACAAGGTGGATCTTGATGACCCTGTCTTATGTAGTTCCAACGATCGTGTTTCCTACGTCTTTTTGGGTTTTCCCTGCAAAGGAAGGTCAGTTTGTTGTTTCAAACTTCATAATCAATGCGCTGCAATGTCGAAACCCGGACATAATTTGCATAACTGTACAAACCGTTGCAGCCAACGTTCTTCGGATGCGGCTTATGCAATACAAGCATGAAGGTATGATGGATAACAGCTTACAAAACTAATAAATGTTTCAGATACATCGCAACATATTGGAAACATGGAAATTTCAACAAAGTTCCACTTCGAAGCCTTTTTTTTCATAGTTTTGCAAAGATTCACGGGAAAACAACGAAAAGAATGTATGTAGGACCGTAAGGCGTGTCTAAACTTTACATCTGTTTTGAACAATTCTGTATTCCTTTCTCGAAGTAAACCTTGTATTCATGTTACGATTCTTGCTCTGTTCGTACTTGGAAACTATTAACGAGATAGGGTCTCCTTTGCAGTTTCGAAAGTGCGTGTTCTTTTTTATAGGGATATGCCCCTAGGGATGTTACATAACTAGACAGGGACTAAAAACAATTTCGTGCTAAACAACATCAATGGGCACACTCATGGCTGCGTAGTGGTTTAATTAAAAATACAAATTATACCTGCACATAATCTTGCTGAATCTCTTTTTACATCCGTTTCTGTTTTCTTGCAAACACTGAATCCTTGACTTTCTCAGAGGCAGACATATTTGGGGAACATATACCGCAGTCACCTTCTTTCGAGCTGACTAGTCAGTCAGGCCCCGTCCACACGTATCCGAATATTTTTGAATCCGCAACTTTTTCTTTCCGGATACGGCTATCGTCCACACGTATCCGGAGAATTCGCAAGCAGATCCGGATATTTTTTAATCCGCTCCCCAGAGTGGAAATTTTTTAATCCGATAACATTTTGGATACGTGTGGACGGTCGAATCCGTATATTTTCTGATACGATTACCTCACAAAATTGGCGCCAGTGTTTACCGCGCAAAGTTGAATATGGCCGCCGATCAAAGGCACATAGTGATTTACGAAGCGATCTAAAATATTTCCATATTTTGCGGCTTTTTACTATATTGTCACGTTCAATAACAACTCTACCTCGTCGTCGCTCCATATGAATGATTCTGGCTTGTTCACCTCATTCTTCTTAGCTTTCTTGCCTGATTTCGACACGTTTTTAACTGTTTGAACTGGTGCAGTACGTAAACTGAAACATCGAATTCCCGCGGGTGCCAAATTCCCCAGCGCATGCTCCGCAACCAATATATATAGAGTCATCCTGGGTACTAGAGTGAATCCAATAGTGAATCCGGAGTGAATCCGGATACGTGTGGACAGGCGAATTCGATTTGAATACGCTGTTATCACATAACGTGTGGACGCGGATATTTTCCTATCCGGAAAGAGAAAGTTGCGGATTAAAAAATATCCGCATACGTGTGGACGGGGCCTCAGTGTTACTCTATGAGCAATATTTGAACAGTAATTATTTATTTTCTTTTGTTGCTGGCCGTAGCTACACATTCTAAAATTCACATGTGGCCGGGAATGTTAGGCTTATAATCTTCACTAAGAAATCATCTTAGCCAAGGTATGTAACTTGACGAAGCTTTTCTGGACTACGAGCAGTACCCTCTTTTCGGCGAAGTCCGCGTCCGTCGCGCGAGTCAAAAAGAAAACAAAGATTCGAATAAAAAGAAATTCACTCAAAAGGTGTAGGATAAAAAAAAAAACAATAAGCTCACTATAAATGAATGGAAATCTGGTTTTCCGGTCAGACAAAATAATATCTTAGTTCGTTTGTTTGTTAGTTATT